GCCAGTCAAGTGGTGGTGATGGAGCGTCAGAACGACTTCGCTCGCTTCAAGGTGCGCAGTTCCAACAACGAGGTGAAGCTGTCGAAGATGTTCGCGCTGGTGGAAGACGTCAAGGCCAAGATGCACATCCGCGAGTACAGCGTTTCGCAGACGACGCTGGAGCAGATCTTCAACTCGTTCGCAAGTCAACAGGAGGAGGAACAGGGAGCCATTCGTGGCGTCTACCAAGGTGCTTAAGGCTAGACGTTCTAGTGCTTTTAAAAATACTACCAAGTGCGGCAGTTCGGAAATCGTTTGCGATCATGGTATTGAGGCGAATTCTGGATCTTGTATTTTCTCAATAATCATATAATAACTAGATAGGGGTGTGGATTTGTCGTTTGGTCAATTACCCAAAAAGTTTTGAGTACAATTGAAATATTTGGGTTCATTACAACCCTAATAAATTAGTGCCAAAAACTCGTCGGTACGCTTTCTGATTGGCTTGGATGCCATTCAGACGAAAAAATACCATTACAAATTTTAATGGGTTTTTTCGTCTGAATGCCATCCAACGGCAAAGTGACTAAGAAATAGGGTTTCTTAAGTATTCTTATGAAGTAAGATTTCTGAAGCTTTTCTATTGGCTACATATTTGACCAATTCTTTTGCTGCATGCGTACCGACCATGGGCGAGATGAACCCTCGCCGGGATCTGCGGATGTCGTCGACATGAAGGACGCGTCACCAGCGCCTTCCACCTCCTCCGGGGGATTCCAGCGCGCGGATCCTTCGTCTGCGTCGTCTTTTGGACACGACCGCCCGGCACTACGAGAACGCACCTCTCCCAGCTACAGATCGACGGCCACAAGTATGTCAGCGCCGTATGGCTTCGAAAGCAGACACTAACGTTCTGTTGTGTGTTGTGCATTGCACAGGTCGCTTAATGGCACCAACGGCATCGTCGTTAGCGCATCGATGATTTGGATGTTTTGATCCTGTCGTCGACCTGACTCCTACGGAGCCTACTGGTTTCGGGAGTGAGCCACAGTTTTAGAAAACTACTCTAATAATTGTTAATCTCATAGGTGGTTGCTTTTCGCCATTTTTTCTAATCAAGTTATGCCATCATGATTTACTATACATAGTATGTACTAGTAGTAGTATTAACGTATACAACACTTATTAACGGACAGCCAGCCAGTGTCAATTTCTAGAGCTAAAACACACCCTGTAAGCATCTTGGATCGGTGTGTTTGGTATAAACACAACCGAGGCTGGCGTTGATTCCTTTATGCTCCAGTCCAGTCGAAAAGATACCGCTGGGTATCTGCTGATAAACTTGTCCTTCCTCTTTGACCACACTTGCATTCACTCCAGCATCCGTTCCACTCTTGTGGCACTGCATTCTTATCATATCTTCCAGCATCTGCAAGTTCCAGCACGTCGAGTTAGTAAAAATAAAAGTTTGAAAAATAGTGAGGAGAAATCTAAGTTCACCTCGAGTTTTGTCCGGCGTTTTAGCACACGGCGCAAGTTCCTGGCTTCTTGAACCTGCATTCCCATCATCTGGCGCAGCTTCAGATTTTCCTCCTCAGATTGTTGGCGCTGCTCTAGCTGTCGCTTGGCAATTTGCTTCCAGAGCTGTGAGCGCGTTGGTCTCATCAGATCTCTCAGTTTTCGTTGAGCAGCCAGTTTCTTTTGACGTGAAGCTTCAACCTTCAGCTCTTGTAAATGAGCGGCCAGCTCGTTGACTTTGTCATGCAATGCGTCTATCTTTTGTTTGGGGGTGAGTCTTTTGACACGCTTGGGCTTATCCAGCTTTGCTTCACGAGTGGTTTTTGCTGTAGTGTCGAGCAGCACGGCCGTAGAACTAAATGCTGAATTACGAGCAAACGAGTCTTCACTTTCATTCGGTAGATCTTGTGGCCATAGGTCGTCGGAGACGCAAATGTCGAGAATGTTCGGTGTTTCTTGGTCCAAGTCGATCATCGGAAAGTCTCCGTCTCCGTCGACGTCTGGGATTTCGAGAGAATGGGCACGAGTGAAGGAGGACGCTTTCTTGTTGGAGGTAGACGCTGGCATATTTGAGGCGCTAATGATGATTGCTGCGTCACTGGGAGATGCCCGGTCATGTGAGAGTTGGCAATGGGAGGAGTAGCCAAATGAAGAGTTTGAAGAAATTGTCTTGGCTACCATGGTGCAAAAGAAGTTGTGACAATACCAATGGCAGCTTGTCAATGACTTCAGCGGTGGATTTTCTTGTAAAGACGTCGCTGTGTCGCCCCGCCTGCTCGCAAATCACGATCGCTCTGTATTAATTTGACAGTGACTTGTCCTTCTGGCGACCCGCAGGCCCTGGTCTCCAGGAGCACGGCACTGGCAATTTGGTAGTTAGTAGTGGGAGAACATGATCTGCAAGTATTTCTATCCCTTGTGCAGGCAGCAGGAACTTTGTCGATACCTAAATGTCAAGTCCATCAACTGTAGACAGCTTTGTGGTACGACGCTGAGGGTACCGCATCACTTCCCTGTACGTCACTCTTTGGGTCTTAGAAAACTGTATCCGAGACGCACTGACGCTGTACATCAAATCGATTACGACGCGGTCTGCACCATGGTGATGTTGACAAATATCCAGCGAGTCTGCCGTTCGTACAGTCGTTGGCAGGATCCCTGCTTGGCACCGTCACTGCGATGCAAACCTTGGCATATTTTTAGTGGCATCTATACTGGTCAATGTGGGGCCTACAATCTAGTTGCTCAGCACCAACGCTGTTCCATAAGTGCACAAAAGTCAACTCCTTGTTTCATCTCAAAATTTTTTTTAGGATCTTGGAAAGCCACCGGTGAGTTATTCTTACGAAAGAACAACCAGTCGACATTTTCCGCATCGTTCAAGGTACCACTTGAGCAGCAGATGGTCTTAGGTGGTCGTGAACACTCTAGCCAAGATGCTTACTGCCATTGCTCCACATCAAACGTCGTGTTTCCACCAATCGAAAGGCGGCCGTTGTTTACATCGTAGACTCATCCAGAAGATTGTGTCAAATATCCATGTGGATAACGAAGCTCGAAGTAAGACTCTCCCGTGGTCTTCCAGCATGTACATGACATACCCCTTTTGTTGCTGGACAAACAGTAAGTCGCCCCCTTGGCGATTACTTTGGTCGCTTCAACACAGCTCATTCCTCAATTGACCACCGACTGCACACTATACCTGCAAACCACACCAGCCAGCAAAAGAGTCCCCGAAACAAATAAAAAAAACTTATCGAGACCATCAAATGACTCTCCAAGAGAAGCTGATGCAGACCTCTAGTGAAAATCTGGAGCAGCGACGCACGTCTTGGACGTTCATCCGGTCGTTGCTGTGGAAGAACTGGCTCATCAAAAATCGCCAGCCTGCAGCCACCGCATGTGAAGTTCTCGTGCCAACCTTCTTCATTCTGCTGCTTGGAATACTCAAGCTCCTTACTACGACGGTCGACGTGCCGGCCGGTTGGAGCGATGACGCTGACAATACCGCCGGTACCCGGTACAACCTGTTCCAACCGACCGGACGGAACATCGAGTGGGTAGACGCCGACTTGCCAAAATTCGCACTACACGAGTCCACCATGACTGGGCTCATGTTGAAGCTCGCGCGGCAGTCTATCGACGATGGTCTGCGGTTGGAAGAGCTATCTGCCTCGGACCTGACTGCTTGTCG